TTTTAATCCTGTTAATAAAATCAGATCAAAAAAACTATTCATATTTAAAAAATTACACTTCGGAACAAAAGTTGCTTTACGGATACCAGTTTCCTGGACAAAAATACCATTTGTCTGTATGTTCCATTATTCAGGTCTGTGTCCTTGATAAAGAGGGGACTTTGGAAACCATAAAATATGTAGTTTCTTTTGGACATATGATAAAGATGAATAAAAAAAATAAAATTATAACACACTTTTTTTCAGGCATTTTACAAAAACAAACATAGTCAAGCTTTAGTTATATAATGGATATGGGCTGAAAGTGCACATTCAGGTTTAATTTGAGGGTATGTACATCCAAATTGGAGGAAGGGTTTAGGAATTCCAGCTCAAGAGTAGCCATCCCCCCCTTTTTCAAGGGAATTGGGTCCAAGGATTACCAGAAGATCTGCATGAGGATGACCTTAGGGAAAAAATAAGGAGAGTGTTTAACCCAATAATGGACATGTCAGTCTTAGCCTGTGTACTCTCTCAATTTTCAAAGGATCTAAGACGGACACCAGGATTAGCATCAGACATCCCTAGAGATGGGATCGTCCGTTTTCACCATTATGATATAGGGAGAGAATTTGTAAAAAATTGCGGGAAAACCCTTCGGAGAATCGAACTTGCAGGTTTCCACGGACATTGCACCTGAAACTAGTGAGAAGATAGGTGAAACCTTTATTGGATCAGATGAGGGGTTCCTAAAATGTTCGATTTGATGGAAGGATGGAAAGTTGGCAAGGTTAAGATTTCAAGAAGAACTCAGTAACTTTTGTGAAAAGCTGGATCTGCGGAATGTGGACATTGAGGGATGGTCAGAGGGGTAAAACAACAAAAATGTAAGGTTGAGAAAAGAGAAGTGGCAGCCAATTAATAAAAAGAAAAAATAGATGGAGTTTGAGATGGGGGGGAAATAGGTGACAGATGTTGGGGTGAGTGGAAAGAAGGGGGGCATTAAATTTTGTTCCATCCCCCCCCCCATCCACTCTCTCCCCCCCCCCCCCTTTTTTTTTTCCCTCTTCCGTCTCCTGCTGCTCCTCCTCTCTTCCCCCTCTTTTAGTATTCTTAGTGAGTTGATGAGGAATTAGTAAAACAGAGAGGGCGGTGTGTCAGGAGGCTAAATAGCTTGAGAACTGGGGGTAAGATCAGGTGCACATGTTGAGTTGTACCCCGAAATAGGAATCAGTGGGAGAATCTCACATCAGATGCTAGGGCAATGTGCAGGCCTGTGTTTTTTTTTTTTGTTTTTTTTTTAGCAGTAGGTTAGGGGGGGGGGAGGGAGGACTAGTGGAGGGAAGGGGGTGGGACGGGATAGATGGGGTAGAGGTCCATAATTTGAGCTGTACATATATCTCTCTTCCTTTGAATAGAAATGTAGAATGAAAAAAGATACATCAAATGGCTAGGAGTAGGATTAATGTCATGACCTATAATGTGAAAGGTTTAAATTCTCCCATTAAAAAGGCATAAGACTTCAAGAAATCCACCAATATTCTATAGATGTAGTGTTCTTACAAGAGACACATTTAACATATGAAGCTGTTATATTCGAGGCACTATCCAATCTGGTACTATGTAGACTCACCAATAAGGAGGGCTAAGGGAGTAGCGATTGGGTTTTCAAGGAGGGTAGGCGTTGATGTAGAGAGGGAATTGGTAGACCCAAAAGGCCGGATTTTATGTGAAAGAGGGAAAATGCAGGGACAAAATTATACATTGGTCAACATCTATTGTCCAAATCAAAATCCAGGTGTTTTTGCAGAGAGTGCTGGGAAAAATTATGGACTTTAACCACTTCCAGACCGGACACTTTTACCCCATTCCTGACCAGGGCAATTTTCAGCTTTTAGCGCTATCACACTTTGAATGACAATTGCGCGGTCATGCAACACTGTACCCAAATGAATTTTTTACCATTTTTTGAGATAGATAAAGCTTTATTTTGGTGGTATTTATTCACCACTGGGATTTGTATTTTTTTTGCTATGTAAATGAAATGTCCAAAAATTTAGAAAAAAAGTGTTTTTTTTATAAAATTTTGAAAATAAATAATATTTCATCATAAATCTTAGTCAAAATTTATTCCGTTATCTTTAGTAAAAAAAAAAAAAAAAAATCCAAATTAGTTTATAAGCAAACATTATAATTTTTAAAAAAAATTTTTTTACATTTTTATTTTATTATATTATTTTTATTTTTTTTTTTTTACATACTGTCACCCTAGCAGTACAGTGTCACCATGGTGACACTGTACTACTTGTGAGGGGTGATGAAGATTTTTTTTTTTTTTTTTTACACCGATTGCTTTTACACCCATATAGGATGTAAAAGCAATCATTTCTCTTTCTCTCTGTGTGCATTCCTGCACTCATTGAGAAGAACTGAGTGAGCTGTGATTGGTCACAGCTTGTCACATGGTACAAGGCTTTTGTGAATAGCCTTGTACCATGTGACCTCTGATCATTCACAGATTTCACACATAGTAAGCAATGATGTCAGAAGTGACATCTTGCTTACTACTTTGCATGTGATCACTGATTGGCCAATCAGTGATCACATGATCGGGACCTCGTACAGAGGACCCGTCCGACGATCGGCGTTTCACTGTGTCCGGAGGACACAGCGGGCACCGGATCGCGGTGCTGCGCGCTCCCAGGGAGCGCGCACAAGCAGGGTGTGGGGAGGCAGTTTATAGACGGCCACCCGACCCTGCAGTGCCACCGTCCGGCCGTTTATATACAACGGCCGGTCGGGAAGTGGTTAAGTAGGGTAGTCTTATTCTGGTTGGAGATTTTAATTTATGTTTGGATACATCTTCAAATGCGCCGAGAGGAAGGAGAGAAAAAAAAAAAAAATTAAGATGTTAAAAAAGAGGTTACATCAAAGTCAATTGATAGATACATGGAGGGTGAAACATCCCAGATAAAGATTATACCTTCTCTCTAGCGCATAGATTTTACTCACGTTTAGGATTTCCTGGTTAAATCTAATATAGAAGTTATGTCTCAGATCATGCACTTGTTACAGTGAGACTACAAGTAGGAGGGGAATAAGAGGGCTATGTGGAGACTAAATGGGATGCTTATACAGGATCCTGGAATAGAGGAAATATAGGGGAAGAAGAAAAAAAAAAAAAAAAAAAAAAAAAAAAAGGCATGGACGTCCATGGAAGACAACAGTGGTGGATGATCGCAGGATCCTCTCTATGGTAAAGAAAAACCCATTCACAACATCCGGACAAGTGAAGGACACTCTTCAAGAGGTGGGCATATCATTGTCAAAGTCTACAATCAAGAGAAGACTTCACGAGAGCAAATACAGAGGGTTCACCACAAACTGCAAACCATTCATAAACCTGAATAGAAAAGCAAGATTAGACTTTGTCAACAAAGCCAGACCAGTTCTGGAAAAGCATTCTTTGGACGGATGAAATTAAGATTAATCTGTACCAGAATGACGGGAAGAAAGGGAAAAAAAAAAAAAAAAAAAAAAAAGGCTGGCAACAGCTCATGGTGCAAAGCACATATCATTTGTAAAACATGGCGGAGGTAGTGTGATGGCATGGGCATGCATGGCTTCCAGTGCCACTGGGTCATTGGTGTTTATTGATGATGTGACAGAAGACCCCGGATGAATTCTGCAGTGTTTAGATATATACCGTCAGCCCCGATTTAGCCAAATGCAGCAAAGTTGATTGGACGGCGCTTCACAGTACAGATGGACAATGATCCAAAACACATTGCAAAAGCAACCCAGGAGCTTTTGAAGGAAAAGAAGGGGACTATTCTGCAACGGTCAAGTCAATCCCCTGATCTCAACCCAATTGCATTTCACTTGCTGAAGGCAGAAACAATTGAGTACTGACGTGATACTTTTTTTAGTTGCACTAACATACAATTTTGAGGACAAGCTTTTGGGGTATGTCCCCTTCTTCAAGGTCCAAGCAGTACTACACAGCAAAACTAAAAAGGCAGAAAGACCCACAAAGAGCTGAAGACAGCTGCAGTTAGAGTCTGGCAAAGCATCAGAAAGGAGGAAACCCAGTCTTTGGTAACGTCCATGGGTTCCAGACTTAAGGCAGTCATCGCCAGTAAATGAATCTCAACAAAATATTAAAAATGAACATTTTATTTATGATTATATTCATTTGTCAAATTACTTTTGGTCCCTTGAAAGGGGAGATGGCTACTCTTAAGAGCTGTAATTCCTAAACCCTTCCTCTAATTTGGATGTACCCTCAAATTAAACCTGAGAGTGTGCACTTTCGGCCCATATCCATTATATAATAGCTTGAATAGGTTTTGGTAAATACCTGACAAGATAAAAAAAAAAAAAAAAAAAAAAAAAAAAAAAAAATCTAAAAAATTGTGCCTGTGTCCAAATATATATGGAGACTGACACTGACACGGACACACACAAACAAAGGGTGTTCCACCAAAAAGTGGAAGCTCCGCTTATCTGCCTTCCCCCCCCTCCACTGTCACATTTGGCATCTTTGACAGTGCGCAGTAGGAAACCGGCTGTGAAGCTGCAAGGCTTCACTGCTGGTTTCCCTTAGACGGGATGGTGGCTCCAGCACCCGACTGAAGAATTGGCCTGGGATGAGGACACTGCTGGATGCCTGGACAGTAAGTATTTGTAGCTGCTGACTTCATTTATTTGGCGGTGGGTAAGGGGCCAGAACTCCTAACACGCTCTCTCAAATCTCTTGGGTTTTGACAAAACAACATTCCAGAGGACTCTGTAAGAGCAGCCTGACCAGAACCATTACACTCCACTTAATACATTTCATTGAACCTCCAACCAATCTCTTTAAGAACACTGAGGCTGGATTCACAGTGCTCCATGTGCATACAGCATAACAGGCTATGTTAATGGGCTCATATAGCTCCCATTTCAGTTTAAACTGTCTAAACCACCCACGCAGGAAGTTTGCTGCATCAACAAATGGACAAGTGTGAATATGCTCTTACATGTCTTTTTGTACTTCAGCATCATCAAAGCGGCGACCAATAAGGCGTTTTGTAGCATACAATGTGTTGTTGGGATTTGTCACTGCCTGTCTCTTGGCTGGCATTCCAACTAGTCGTTCCCCATCTGCAGAAAAGGCAACAACAGAAGGGGTTGTTCTTGCACCTTCTGAGTTTTCAAGGACCTGAAAAAGGAAATAAGTTAAGAAAGCTGGTCAGCCAAATTAAGCAGGACTCCTGTATGATCAACATCTTCCATATAATTTAGATGCAAGAATAAAAATAAATAAATAAAAAAAAGTTACTATAGCAGGTTCTTACACGACATATTTAGCTCCTGGTTCAGTAGAATTGTTAACATGCTACATTGCCAGTATATTATTTTGAAGGGATGTTGTGAATATTTGCATTCATGGCTTATTGGAGAAGGAAAAAAAAAAAAGACGAAGAAAAAAAAAAAAAAAAAAAAAAAAAAAAAATGATGAAGGAAAAAAGACAGGAAAGAAGACAGAAGGTTCGGGAGTTCAGGTCATCTGAGTTGCGATGACATCACTTGCGCATGTGCGCGGGAGTCCCGGGCCACATCATGGTGCCCTGAAGGAATAGCATGGGTCTGCCGTTTCTTCAGAGTGCATGCACCGGCTCTCAAAAAAGGAGAACTTCTTCATTCATTTTACCTATAGGCAAGATTTTAAGCTTACTTGTAGTTAAAAGAAAAAAAAATAAAAAATTATAATCCTACACCCACAGTTGATCCAGAAGAAGGCAACACCCCCCCCCCCAGAAAAGCATGCTGGGGAACAAATTCCTTTCTGATCCCCCGAGAGGCAATCGGATATTCGCTGGATCAACTTTACCTATAAAATGTTAGTAACCAGTTATATTTTGTGTATTCAAGAAATAATCCACTTCAAGTCCAGACACTTTCAACCCCTTCCTGTTCAGGCCAATTTTCAGTGCTATCACACTTTGAATGACAATTGCGCGGTTATGCAACACTGTACCCATATGAATTGTTTAGCATTTTTTGAGACAGATAAAACTTTATTTTGGTGGTATTTATTCACCACTGGGAATTTTATTTTTTTGCGCGATATAAAATGAAAGTCCTAACATTTTGAAAAAAAAAAAAAAAAAAAAAAAAAAAAAAAAAACGTTTTGCTTATAAATAATCTTTCTTCATAAATCTTGGCCAAAATGTATTCAGCTATCTTTTTAGTAAAAAAAAAAAAAAAAAAAAAAATTAGTTTATAACCAAAAAAATCATATACTGTCACCCTAGCAGTACATAGTGACACTATACTACTTGTGGCGGGTGATGATTTTTTTTAATTTTTTTTTTGTACACCGATTGCTTTTACACCCATAAAGGCTGTAAAAGCAATACTTTCTCCTCTCTGGCTGCATTCTTGCAGCCATTGAGGAAATACTGTGAGAGCTTTGATTGGTCACAGTTTGTCACATGGTACAAGGCTGTTGTGAATAGCCTTGTACCATGTGACCTCTGATCATTCACAGATTTCACAAGTAATAAGCAATGTCAGGAAGTGACATCTTGCTTACTACTACTGGCCAATCAGTGATCACATGATCGGGACCTCACACAGAGGTCCTGTACAGCGATCGGTGTTCTGGAGGACACAGCGGGCACTGTATCGCGGTTCTGCGCACTCTCAGGGAGCATGCACAGGCAGTGAATGTGGGGGCCATTTATAAACGGCCACCCGCTTCGGCACTGCTCCCGTCCGGCCACTTATCTACATGGGCCGGACAGGAAGTGGTTAAAGCAATCCACTGAGCTGGCCAGAGCCAACTCTTGAGGGAGTCTATTCCACATTTTCACAGCTCTTACTGTGAAGAAACCCTTCAGTATTTGGAGATTAAATTTCTCTTCCTCCAGACGTAAAGAGTGCCCCCTTGTCCTCTGTGATGACCTCAGGGTGAATATCACTGCCCCCCCCCCCCCTTAACTCCCTTTTTTTTTTTTTTTTACACTAGTAATGGTGGCGATCAGCAACTTACTGTGGGGCTGTGGTGGGCATTCTGACACTGGAGGGGGGGGGGGGGGGGGTACTAACACTGACACTGTACTAATGACACTGGGCAGGAAGGGTTTAACATCTGGAGAGATCAAAGCGTTGACTGTGTGCGCTGTATGTGATTTACTAGGGGGACAAGCAGCTTTGTATTGCTCTGCTGTGCAGGAGCAATACAAAGCAGCCTATTCGTGCTGAAAGGGGAGAGATCTGTATTTACATACAGTCCTCTCCCCTTGTCAGCTCCGACGATCACCAAGTCTCGGACAAGAATTGGCAGCCGGGACCTGGTGATTGACATGCCGAAGAGCCAATAGCTACATAGACGGTCTGGAGATACTGTGGACAGGGGATGAAACAAGCTTGAAGAGCTCCCTGGAAAATCCCAATAATAATAAATAATGAGAAAAACAATACGTTTGACATGGAATTTAAAAAGAAGATTAACATTCTAGAGTTAGAGGAGACTAGCAGGGAAGGGAATGAACGCAAGACAAACATTTTAAAAAGGTAGCAGACAAGTAAAGTTACATACCGGTTGACAGCTGCCATCATGCTCCGTGGCTTAATATACCCAAGGGGCAATTAGACAGGTTAAGGTGGAAATGTACTGAATGATTTTGATGCACAAGCAGCACTCACTGGTGACAGATTCACAAGTAAAGGATTTGACAGATTTATAGAACAAAAAATTAAAGATGCGGAAATAAAGCTAAAAGAAAACAAGAGGATGAGATATTTAATGTGCCCATTATAGTAGATTATATTATCCAACATAAGAAAATCGAAAGTATCTTTAGCAAACACTGCGGTATTTAAAAAAAAACAAAACAAAACAAAAAACATTTGAGCCAAATCCTACCCGTGCACCCTACTCACCTATCCTAGCTCCAACTTTGAGAGAAAGTTGTTAAGAATGTAGTGGATCCACAGACACATTTAAGAAAATAAATATTCTTTGAGGGCAAATGTTTTTACCTTTAAAAGAAAAAGGTTTTGCTTGTACAAGAACTAAATGGAAATATGGGAGGAAGAAAGATATTTATTTCAATTACTGGGAAGAAATACACCATTAAAGATTTCATCTCCAGCACAACAAAGGGGGCAGTATATGTTTTTCAATGTCCATGCGCCAAACAGTATGTGGGGAGGACAAAATCCCCTTTGGAAAAGTCTTAAAGAACATGTACAGAACATTAACAAGGAGTATACGCAACAGTGTCTACAGGCACTTTGCCTTCTATCATAATAAGGATCCATCTTTCCTACAATTTTGGGGGATTGAAAGTTACAAACACTGGAGAGGAAGCAATAAGATACGAGTCCTGCGCAAGAGTGAATCAAGATGGATTTATGAGCTCTATACTTTGACCCCCTCAGGACTGAACATAGATTTTGACAGCAGCCATTTTAATACAAATTATTAAAGTGAATAGGGGTTAGTTAGCACGATTTATCCTATTCATATTTTGCATTTCCATATATTTTCTTTTTTAAATAATTTTAGCTCATCAATATATGTATATTGTTTTTTATATATTTATCCTTTATAGATGTGTATATTCCAGTATGGAGCTTTAGTATAGTCAATTCACCTCATTTAACTTGCCCTCCAGAGGATTTACCCCCCTTCCTGACCAGGCCATTTTTTGCGATACGGTGCTGCGTTACTTTAACTGACAATTGCACGGTCATGCAATGCTGTACCCAAATGAAATTTACGTCTCCCCCCCCCTAAATAGAGCTTTCTTTTGGTGGCATTTGATCACCTGTGCATTTTTATTTTTGTGCTATAAACAAAAAAAAAAAAAAAAAAAAGAATTGAGAAAACAAAGTAAATTTTTTTTACTTTTTGCTATTAAATGTCCAGTAAAATTTATTTTTTATTTATTTTTTTAAACCAAATAAACCAAATTTTGTCATAAATTTAGGCCAAAAAGCATTTAGAGACAAACACTGCTGCTCAGAAGGCAACATGTGAACCAGTAGAGGGGGAGGGGCCTGAACATGGCGCCAATAGGCAGCATGTAATAGGAGTTCCGGGCACACACCTAGCCATGTGGGAGACCCTGACGTAATGTCGATTCCCTTCCCAACTTATCCCATGCTTGCTGACGCTTGTACAAGAAGCTTTCCTGGTGCGTTTCCGAGGGTGAAAGAGAGCCTACCTCCCTGAGCGGAGGTGGATGGGTCCCGAGCCCTACAGGAGTGAAGTGGTGGATGCCGGGAGCAGTCAGGTGATTGCCACGGGGAACCCTGGGAGAAGCAGTCGAGGAGAGGAGGACCAGAGCAGACACACAGAGATGCAGAGGCAGATCCCCCTTTCTTTTTTTTTTTTCCCCATACACAACATCTAAGCAACCCAAAAAAGGAACAGGAGGAAGGAAGGAAAAAAACTAAGGTACCCCTCACGGAGAAGGGAGTGAAAAGCTGAGGTGGCCATGGGGGAGCAGAGTGTTGGAGGTGGTGATTCCTGAAGCACGTGATTACTAGAGGTGGAAATTGACATGGAAAAGACTTTCTAGTGGGCTAAGGGTAAAAAGTCTTATGGAGGAGGAGGTAGGAGGAAAAAGGAGAGTAAGTGAAGAGAAGGAAAGCAATGGGGCGGGGGTCACCCTGCGTTTAAAGAAGAATGGAGAGAGGAGAGGAGGAGAAACGATGAGAAAAAAAAAAAAAAAGGAGAACGTTGGAGAAGGATTTTGAAGGTGATGATATTAGAGACCAGGAAAGGCTAATATGTAAATAGTGAAGATGTTTGCAAAATTACAGCAATCTATAAAGAAAGATATGGCAGTTCTACATGATTTGCGTCAGGTGTTACTGCGAGTAGACGAAACTGAAGGAAAACTGGACAAACATGTTAAAGCGATAAATTGGAAGCGCAAATGGATGAGATGCGATGGGAACAAAAGGAAATTATATAAAGATGGAGGATCAAGAAAATAGAGATAGAAGGAATAACCTGAGGATTTTGGGATTGCCGGAAATACCCCATGAAGATTTAATGAATATAATTAAGAGTGTTCAATCCAATAATGGATAAGCCAGAAACCGAGCAATTGAAAATTGATAGAATACACAGGATTAAATTGGCCGCAAGGAAGGACAATGGAAACCCCTAGGGATGTGCTTGTACGATTTCATTATTA